GGTTAAAAAAATATCATTGGTAATAAATTAGGGGAGGGCTGAGGAGGGAAATCTGACAGATTGGACAAAAAGTAAAAAAGACACAGACTTTTTTTGTAAAGGTTATTGATTAGTTAACAGTTAATATTTAACTTATAACAATAACAATTGGGGCTGTGTGGACTGTTGTCTTGAGAGATCGTGCCCTTAGGGAGTCTGTAAAACGGAAAATTTCCTGAAAATCCAAAGGCATGTTATCTTAGATGCAAAAAGACAATAGGCAGGCTCAATAAGGTAAAAACTGACCTTTGCAAAAAAACAAAACAAAACACAAAAACAAGGTTAGGACAGAACTACCCCCGAGACAAGCTTTTACTTACAAAGTTTTAATTCAAACCATCCTATATGGTTACCTTTGACCTCTGAGTTTGTAAGATCGACCATGCCATGACAGGCTCCCTGAGCTTGCTAGGTTTACCATGTGCCATCATTTTTGTCCATACTGGGGAGTTAGAACCTGTGAGTTCAAGAGAAAATTCAATGAGTGGTTGATTTCCTCCAGGACCCATTGCTGACATCCTCCTTAACACGATGCCCCCAGTACTGCTTGTGTCCCTTTACTTGAACTCTTAGAAGTATTCATTCTTTATGTCAATAAAGCCTTAGGCCCTAGCCAGTTCGGCTCAGGGTATAGAGCAAAGCCTTGCAGACCAAAAGCTACCAGGTGCGATTCCAGTCAAGGGCACATGCCTGGGTTTTGGGCTCCATGCCCAATTGGAGATGTTCAAGAGGCAGCCAATGAATGATTCTCATCATTGGTGTTTCTACCTCTCTCTACTGCTCTCTCCTCTCTGAAATCAATAAAATATATATTTTAAAAGAGATAAATAACTTAAGCTTTAGGTTCTAAAAGTGGTTGAGGTATTCGTAAGGACAAAAAAAAAAGGTCTTTTTTTTTTTTACTGTGACCTTCCACTATTTATGAAATGCACCTGCTAATTAAACCCCAAGTTTATTGGCTCCCTTAATTCACACAGCTCCTCTGTTCAAACTGCAGAACAAGATAAGCTACTTTCAAGACTGCATTCTTGCCACCCATTCTCCCTGCTGTTATCACACGTCAGGGATAATTTGTACCAAAGAATCTCTAGTTAGTAGAAAGTTTCCTTCCCTCCGCCCATTCAAACCACCCTCTTTTGAACTCTTCATAACTTGCACTGCTGGAAAGCAGAAGCCACCCTTTCTTCCCTGCTCTGTACTGACTAGCAATACTTGGCCCTTTCCAATCTTGGAAAGTGAAATAAACTTTCTCTCTGCATGTCTTCTCTTTGCTGTGAATTCTTACACAGCACACATCACTTGACAAACCCTAACAGTATTCCATTATTCTAAGGAGTTAAGTGGGTGAAAATGAAAAGTGACATTGTAGAGTCAAAATATTTCCTTCCTCTTTTCTAGGTTCTTTGGTTGCCCTAATAATTAAATTGGTGAAATATAGATTAATGGGGCAAAAACCACCAAAAAGTTATTAACCTGTATACCTCCATATACATGGAAACAACTCAGAAAAAGAGTAACTAGCCAAAATAGCAAACACCTTCACCTGTAAGACCACCTTCACCATCAAAAAATGTTGTGGATAGCCCTAATCAGCTTGGCTCAATGGATAGAGTGTCAGCCTGCGGACTCAAGGGTCCCAGGTTCGATTCTGGTCAAGGGCACGTACCTTGGTTGTGGGCTCATACCCAGTAGGGAGTGTGCAGGAGGCAGCTGATTGATGTTTCTCTCTTATCGATGTTTCTAACTCTCTATCCCTCTTCCTTCCTCTCAGTATAAAAAGTCAATAAAATATATATTAAAAAAAATGTTGTGGATAGTCAGTTAGGGTAGATTGTCAGGAAAAGCACAGTAAGGACCTCAGTTGTGTCCCAGTGTGCTGTGCACTGCAGTGAAGGCTCGTATTCAAAAGGATTCAGTTCCAACCCAAAGACCCAGGGTGCAGACACAGGAGACTAGGAAGTAGGAAGTGGGCCCATAACATGATCTGGGCTACAGAGAAAACAGTGAGAGCCATTGTCTCATTCAGCCAGTAGGGAGATAGTGGACAGAATCACATGGTGGTGGGTCCTATGCATGAATAAGAGGTGAGCACCCATCCAGAGACTGGGATCATGTAGGACTCCAGCATCACTTTCAAATATTAGGCCCCAGAATTCATGTCCAGTTGTATCCACTCCTGTAGGGTGAATGTCAGTGCCACATAGGAACATCATTTGCAGGGTCAAGGTGAGGCAACAAATTCATCACAGTGGATGGGATCACAGCATGACACCCAACATGTGGGCACAGTTGCAGAGGCCCAGCCCAAATATCCGAGGTCTCCTGTGGGTCAAACTCTGTGCTGGGATCAAAAAGGAGGCAGACAAACGCAGCTCACTCTGAAAGAAGATTCCCCTGGAGAAACTACTGCAGCTGAGAAATGATGGCATTCAACAGAGGGAGGCCAAAGGTAAGTGCTCTGAAATGTGAAGGGAATGGGAGGAAAAGCATAACTGCAACCATGGAAACAGGAGCTGCAGCTGAGCCACCCTGGTCCTCAGACTGTACCTGCTCCAGTAAGGGCTGCTCATCAGGGGTAGAGACTGTTTCTGGCGCTAGAGAAAACAATGAGTTAAAATCCAGCCCCTTGAATCTAACACTTGTCTGTGGTGTAAAATTGGGGACCTGACTTCATTTCTCTGATACTGAATTTTATCAGCGATTTGATATGAGTTTCCACTTGTTCAGGTTGTTGTGAGAATTAAAAGAGAAAATGCTTGAAAATCTAACCCTGGAATCCTGGCAACAAGTACTCAGCTTGTTACTTTTATTGATCTTGGAAGGCCAAAGTAGGCGCCATCAATCATCTGGGTGTCACATTCAGCCAACTGAGATTCAGGGAGCAGTAGTGAGTCTGCTGGAGATTCAAATATATTGGCAGCATCCCTTGAAAACAAGAAAAATTTTCATGCTGCTTGAAGATATACTCAAGGTTGTCACAGTTACCCCCTCTGTACCTCAAAGCTTCCATATTCATATGAGGACTAGAGACTCCACAGTCCACAGTGTTTCCAAGGAAAATACAGGCAGCAATATAAATTGCGCAAAAACTTGCTAAGTTAAATTCTACACCATACTGTTCCATCGAGGGCAAAGACTGTTTGAGGCCCCATAAAAGTTTTTCACCTCAGCATGTGTGGAGAGCTGAGATCTCCTTATGAGCTAACACACAGTAAATATTACACCCAAAATTAAAGACCAAAATAGAAACAAAAACAAAAAACCCCACAAAAACACTTATGGGGAATTTACATAATGTAGGTATTTAAATGTATGAGATTCAATTTAGACAAATGAGACTTCACAAATCCTATATAATAAAAGCCTTGGTGGTGTCACGCCCTCGTGCGACGTTGTCACAAGATGGCCGCCACAAGATGGCTGCACACACAATGGAAGCAGGGCCCGATGCCCACTCCGTGTGGAGAGGCCTGGGGGTCCTGCGGCTCTGTGAAGCGTGAAGGAGGCTGGTCCCGGCGTCTCCACTGCCTCTCATGAAGGAGGTGGGTCCCAGCAGAGGCAGGTTGCAACAGGGGAGGGCAGTTGTTGGCAATCAGGCTGGCCTGGGAGGGCAGTTGTAAGCGATCAGGCCAGCAGGGGATGGCAGTTGGGTGCAATCAGGCCGGCAGGGGAGTGGTGAGGGGGCATTCTGGCTGGAAAGCAGAAGCGGTTAGGGGTAATTGGACAGACAGCAGGCGAGCTGTTAGGAGCCAGCCGTTCCAGATTGAGAGAGAAATGTCTGACTGCCAGGTCCATAAACCAGTAGTCGGACATCCCCTGAGGGGTGCCAGATTGGAGAGGGTGCAGGCCAGGTTGAGGGACAACCTCTTTCCCCGTGCACGATTTTGTGCACCGGGCCTCTAATTTTCTTATGCTATTGTTAAGTAATGACTAAGAAAACACATTTCTCACACATCTAAGACAAGTCTCACATGTGAACTCATATCTGCAGAGCGAATTTAGAAATTTGGCTGAGAGATATCCCATGTTAATTGCACTCATAAAGTCTTTATCCAGTGTGAACTCGTTGATGATATTGGAGACTATAGTTCCTTGCAAACGATTTCCCACATTCACAGCATTTATAAGGCTTTTCTCCTGTATGAAGTCTCTGATGACGATGAAGAGCAGTGCTCCAGGTAAAAGATTTTCCACATTCACTGCATTTATAACACTTTTGTCTAGTATGAATTTTCTGATGACAGTAAAGGCCAGTGCTAGTGGTAAAAGATTTCCCACATGTAACACTTTTGTCTAGTGTGAATTTTCTGATGACAGTGAAGGCCAGTGCTAGTGGTAAAAGATTTCCCACATTCACTGCACTCATAAGGCCTTTCTCCAGTGTGCAATCTCTGATGACCTTGAAGGGCAATGCTGGTGGATAAAGTTTTCCCACATTCACTGCATTTATAAGAGTTTGCTCCAGTGTGAACTCGCTGATGACGAGAAAGGAGAGTGCTATAAATAAAAGATTTCCCACATTTAGTGCATTTATAAGGCTTTTCTCCAGTGTGAATTCTGTGATGAAGACGAAGGTCACTACTCCTGGGGAAAGATTTCCCACATTCACTGCACTCATAAGGCCTTTCTCCAGTGTGCAATCTCAGGTGATCTCGAAGGGCAGTGCTCCTGGTAAAAGATTTCCCACAATCACTGCATTTATAAGGCTTTTCTCCGGTGTGAACTCTCTGATGACAATGAAGATCATCGCTAGTGGGAAAAGATTTTTCACATTCCCTGCATTTATAAGGCTTTTCTCCAGTGTGAATTCTCTGATGATGTTGATGAAGGTGACCTGTCGTGATAAAATTTTTCCCACATTCATTGCATTTGTAAGGCTTTTCTCCGGTATGAATTCTCTGATGACAACGAAGGGTACTGCTCCAGGAAAAAGATTTCCCACATTCATGGCACTCATAAGGCCTTTCTCCAGTGTGCAATCTCTGATGAACTTGAAGGGCAGTGCTCCTGGTAAAAGATTTCCCACATTCACTGCATTTATAAGGCTTTTCTCCAGTGTGAACTCTCTGGTGAAGACGAAGGTCAATGCTCCTGGTAAAAGATTTTCCACATTCATTGCATTTATAAGGCTTTTCTCCAGTGTGGATGAGTAGGTTAGGCATTATCCCATGCACCAAAGAGTTGCTGATTACATTCTTGCTCTGGAAAAATGCTGGGTTTGTAGGTTCTATCCCTGGTAAGGGGTATACAGGAGGCAGGCAATCAATGTTTTGCTCTCATTACATGTTCCTCACTATCCCCCTCCCTATTTTTATAAAAATCAATTTCAGAATCTTAAAAACCAAAAAGGAGCATAGTTCAAATTAGCTAGAAGCTTTTATTAAAAAGAAAAGAAAAAAAGGTATTACGCCTGACAGTGTGAACCACAAGTTATCATATGAGATGTTGGCAGATGACATGACTCTACTTCGAGAAAAACGTTAAGATCCCACTATGAGCTTCTGAAATTAAAAACAAATTCAGAGCCCTGGCCAGGTGGCTCGCTCTATGAAAGTGTGTATCCTGAGGTTGTGGGTTTGATCT